TCCTTTGGGCCTGCTTTGCACCAGTTAAATAACCAATCTTCCCCCGCCCTTGGACGAACAACTTTATGGATTGAGACCACCGTAAAAAATTTTGTCCATTCAGCTAATGAGTGGTAATTTAGGATTGGGTTGTCACCTGAATCGGATGAAGTGATCTGGGATTTCCGAGCATTTGAACATTCGACTGAAACTTCCTCAGTTAAGATTCCAGACATTGCAGATTTAACCAAAGAAATCATCCAGAAACGACTAAGAGAAATAGAAGAATAAATCTTCTATAATTCAGGTATAAACGACCAGAATTAACGATGAAAGTTTGATGATTTTATTGGATAATCAGCAGAACAATAGAATAATTTACTGTCCTAGTGAGGGCGATTCTGATACCATGAACACAAAGGTGAAAAAGAATAAATTCTGATATTCTCTTTTCATATCAAATATGTTACTTTATAGGCCTATATATGTAGAAGTGTATTACAAATTCAATTGAATTATATCATAGATGGCTCTGATACCAAAAAGTAACTTGGTAAGATTGGCGTACTCAATTTGAGAGCCTGACTATCATTATATAGAAGAGGAAAATTACAAATATGGAAAGAGAATAAAAATCAAATCAGAATAAAAATCAAATCCCTAAACAAAAGCCTAAACATTAGCATATAATGAAAACCCAATAAATTTGCCACAATCATCGAGTCAACTTATAGATATGATTTACAACACTCCCCCTCAAGCTGTAGGGCTCAGCTTGACTATATCAAGATGTAAAACAATCGTATCCTTTCCATAATAAGATTGCAATGCTACCAAACACACCGACAGCACAAATAAGGCAATAAATATTGTTAGAGATATGGAAACGGCGAACACCATGCTACCGAAAAGACCGGCAGCCCAACAAGGCAAAGAACAATACTACCGAATACACCGGCAGCCTAAACAAGGCACAAACAGCACGGAGAGACCCTTAGCACATGTTAAATGCTAAGGGGATACCCCAAAAAAAAAAAGGGGGTCTTAGAGCAACTCCAATGGGCTGCTATTTGGGCTGCTATTTTCAAATTATAGCATATGGGTTCAATGGCATGCCAAATGGGTTGCCAAAATATAACTTTGCTAAATATTGTGCCAAATATAACACAACATATAGCTATTGCCAAATATGCTATTGCTCTCTTCCTTCTCTCTTCTCTCTCGCATGGGTTGCCAATTTGGTGTTGGGCTTGTGTATATATTTATGTCAGTTGTGCTTGTGTATATATATATGTCAGTTGTGCTTGTGTATATATATGTATATGTCTGTTGTGTGTTGTAACGACCCACTTCACCATATGGTATGATATTGTCCGCTTTGGGCCTGAGCCCGCACGGTTTTGTTCTTAGGCTTCACCCCAAAAGGCTTCATACCAATTGGAGGTGACACACTTACATATAAGCACTTCACCTTTCCTCTACTCAGGCGATGTGGGACTGTGCACCCGTAGCTCGCCAGTGTGGTAGCCTGACAGTGTCTCTCGCACCCGCCCACGGCACCCCCGCCCACAAGGTCATCACATGTGTATATATAAGTGTGTGTATATATGTCTGTTGTGCTTGTATGTATATATATATATATATATATATATATATATATAGATGTCAGTGTTTTTATTTATTTATTTATTTTTAATAAGGCAAATAAGCTAAATAAAATACAAACACTCACAAAAAAAAAAAAAATGGTTGCTGAAAATTGTAGTTGGGAATGGTAGTTGAAAAATAATGATTGTTGTGTCAAAAAATAGCATTTTGGATGAAATGCACAATTGGGGCAGAATTGCTAAAATATGGCATTTTGACACTATAGCTCCTCTCAAAATATAGATTTGGCATGCAAAAATGGCATTTTGCATTGGAGATGGTCTTAACCTAGGAGGAGAGCTTCCCTACACCGGAGCGATCCATCCGAGAGATGAAAAAGATCTTAAACAAAGCTGGAAATACCGGAACAACGCCATGAAAAAGGCCATGCAATATTCTCTTGGCCAAAACAGAGAGCTCCAACAAAATCAAACGACGAAAGAGAAATCTGAAAAATGACGCCTTGAGATGGCGTGGTGGTTGAACCTTGGACCACCGCCGGAGATGAGGCTTATGCCGTCATCTCCGGAGGTGGCTCTGATACCAAAAAGTAACTTGGTAAGATTAGCGTACTCAATTTGAGAGGCTGATTTTGACTTTTATTATATAAAAGAGGAAAATTACAAATATGGAAAGAGAATAAAAATCAAATCAGAATAAAAATCAAATCCCTAAACAAAAGCCTAAACTTTAGCCTATAATGAAGACTTAATAAATCTGCCACAATCATCACGTCAACTTATAGGTATGATTTCCAACAAATTCTATCTAACGAAAAAATATATATAGATCATAATTCCTATAATATAAGAACTACTTATGTAAAATTTAAAAAAGTCAACTATCTAATTATGGATAATTTCTAAAAAATCCTCCCTAATTAATTTCCTAACAATTCAGCCTAGATCTTTGCACACACACACACACATATATATATATATGTATGTATATATATGTGGTAATCGTTACACCCATAGCTGCCACTTTCCCATTTACACCCTATACCCATAATATTAGGGGCGGGGTGGAATCCTGCCGAGCCAGGTCATTTTGCCATCCCTAGTGGCAATACCTTGCATATAAGGACTTCATATTGCTTGAGATCATGAAGCATTTAAATGCCTTAGCAACCAACATAATTTAAGCCTAAGGCATGCTAAATGGCTATATTATTTGCAATAATTTAATTTTACTTTGAAGCATAAAGCTGATACCATGTAGCTAATGCATTGATTAATTAATCTTTTTTACTTATAGACATATGTATGCATATTAAGCCATTTAATTCTTTTCGGGACCTATATGCAGAGAACCCTTACTTCGCTTTTGTTGAAAGAAAAATAAAAGTTGAAGAGAGAAATTAAAACATGAAGAACACAAGAATATAACGTTGTTCAGCCATTGGGGCTTACGTCCACGACACACAAAGCCCAAAGGGCTACATCTCTTTCATTACATTCTCTCTTGAGTTTGTTTACAATAACCACCTCAATTTATAGGTGAATTGGGGAAGCTTTGTAATCAAGGAATTACACAGAAAGTCAAATATAAATATGGTAACAACTTAATGCCCAAGAATAACAACATTAACATTCTGTAAAGGAGTGATTTGATTACAAAGCTTCCCCAATTCACCTATAAATAGAGGTGGTTATTGTAAACAAACTCAAGAGGCTTAAATCACTCCTTATAATTATTCTCCAATAGCTTTAATTTGGAGGAAGTCAAATATGGACAGGTGTCGGATTATTTCTTGCATAACAGTTTTCTCTTCAAAAGTTAAGAGGTTTTGCATTCGAGATTGTTCTTTGTGCAAAAAGATTATAATAGAGCAGATAGACGTTTTGAGAGATACAAGAGTTTGGAGATGATTAGAAAGAAGTCATGTTATCCTAACTTAAAAGACGGATGTAAGTTGGTAGGTGGAACGTTATCACGTGTGCCAAAGATTGAAACGTGCAGCTAAAACCACAAGTTTTACATGTCTTTGCCCATCCGACTCGATTTTATGTGGCTATTACTCATTAGCATGAATTTTGTTCTTAGGTTGCCCCCTACCCAAAGGCAATGCAATTTTATTATGGTTGTAGTCCATAGATTTTCAAAGACGGTGCATTTTATACCTTTTAAGAAAACTATGGACGTTCAAAAAAATAAAAATAAAAAGATTTTTTGTAATGAGGAACCATTCCAAATAGCGCCCTTTGGACTCGTGGCTACAATGTAAACTCTTGATATCCGCAATCACTCGCAAACCACAAATACCACTTAAACCAAAATACAAACTACCATCCGAGCAACCTTGACAGGTTATAGACGCTACAAGTGTTGCTAATTTTTCTTAGGAAAATTTACAGGTTGCATGGGGTACCTCGTTTTATTATTTCAAGTAGATATATTAATTTTGTTGGGCACTTCTGGAGAACTGTATCAAAAAAATTTGCACGAAACATTATTTCAGCACTTCTTTTCATCCTCAAACATATGGAAGTTGCCAATAAGAAGTTTGAGGAATTCGTTGGGACATTTAACGGGTGATAATCACACGAATTGGGATTTGAATATTTGATTTTACCAGTTATTGAATTTACTTATAACTTTTAGAGACAGAGCCGAATAGTGTTCTTGGTTTGACTAGATTTCCTAATTCCAAGAAAGTTAACTTGAGAGATGGCTGAATGAAAGCAAGAAATCCATATAAAAGTGAAGCAACAAATTGAAGTCATGAATGCTAAATGGAAGGCAGCTCCTGATAGTTAGAAAAGAGAAGTAATTTTTGAATTGGGAGATTATGTTTGGTCTGTTCTCACAAGAGATCGCATTCCACCTCGGATCTACAAGAAGTTGAGGAACAAAGAAAATTGGTCCCTGCCAGGTGGTTTTTTTAGAAGGCCAAGTGGTCAAGAAGATTAATGACACTGCCTACCAGCTTAAGTTGCCCAACCATATTCATGCATCAGATGCCTATAATGTTAATATTTGATTACGTACAAGATTCATTCTAATTTTAGTTTAATTTTTATTGGTAGCAACGCCAACTATGGTTAATATTGATTACGGAAAACTTTATAAAGTCTTGTATTGATAGGGTTTGAAGATAATTCTGGGTAGGAAGTAAAATTACAGCATCTAGAGTTTGCTCATTTCTCAATGGTTGACCGATTGTTGTTGGGTATTTAGGTCAATTTCTACAACAGCCCAAAAGGGACAGAATGAAACATTTGGCATGTACAGTAATTTTGCACCAATCCATATTTACTTTGACCAAGTTGATTTTAGTGAAATGAAGCCTTTAGACTACCGTGGCAGTTTAATTAGTCTCCCTAATTACACCCCATGATAGTTTTCCCAAGTTGTAAAAATCAGTGCCATACCTGTGAAGCGTTTTTGATGGACAAAATTGCAAAGGAAGTCGCCACTCAAATGATATGCTAACAGTGCTCCATTATTGACTTCTTCTTGACAACAAACACAGGCGTTGTTTGAGATACCATTCTCTTTCTGCTCATACACAACATCGATTCCAAATTCCTTTATCTTAAAATAATCCCCTGAATCTACTGAAACTTTCACTGCATCGCCAACTTCCAACGTATTCCCCAGCTTCCAGTGGCATAACCATATCATATATTTGTTGTCATCCGGAATCCCTACAAAGGTTGGGCTATATTTCCACTTCAGCTCCTTGGTCTCATTGCTCGTTGTAATATATAACATATTCCAATACATTTCTCTCATATAACTGGAATGTCGGCCAGCATTTGCATAGACAACACATACATTCAAGCCTCGAATCTTGAGATTAGGAATCGAAGGCACGTTAAAACATATTGAAGACCCAGTGCTCTTACTGCTAAATGTGACTGGAACCTCATTCCCTGGAACAAATGTGCTAAACATTCCAAATTCGTAGAGTCCCTACAGCATGTAAATCATAATCTCAAAATTCTCTCTCACACACACATACAGAAAGAAGAGAGAGAGAGAGAGCACCTGGAGGCGAACTTTCCTTTCTGTAAAAGTCATGTTATTGTACAAGTTCACCTTGACATTTCCCAGCAATTCGAAGATTGACAGGCCCAAAATGTTGACCATTTCTGCGTCAACGGTTCCTATGGGTTCTAACTTGAACACTCCCTGAACTTGAACTAGTTTGCTACAACCGTGCATGATAAACAGCAGAGAACTCAACATGTTTGGTAAATTTGCTACCATTTCCATTGACCTGCAATTGCGCAAGTCCAAGTAGTTTATAGTCATTGGAAGCTCTGGAAGTGATCTGAGTTTTCTGCAATGCCGTAATTTAAGTGACTTGAGCATATTGAGACCCTTCTTGATGCTCTCTGGTAGGCTAGAGATTGGGTTTCCACTTAGATTCAATTCTTTCAACAAGGATAGCCTGCCAAGATCCCTAAGAATAGCATCATCCGAGAGGCTGCAATAAGCAAGACTTAAGCTTGATAACAATCATGGTAAAGAAGACAATGGAAAACTGGTGGATTCTGATTTTTTTTTTCTTACCAGAAGTATGAAAACCTTTCTTCAGTCGTAGAGAATGACAGATTTATGGCAGTTCCGTCCGCAAGGCGAATTTGCAAAGACTCCATCTTGCCCAGCTCCTTAGGCAACTCGATAAGCTTTGAGCAACTTATGGCAGTTCCGTCTGCAAGGAGAATTTTCCAAGACTCCTTTTTGCCCAGCTCCTTAGGCAACTCGATAAGCTTTGAGCAACTTATGGCAGTTCCGTCTGCAACGAAAATTTTCAAAGACTCCATCTTGCCCAGCTCCTTAGGCAACTCGATAAGCTTTGAGCAACTTATGGCAGTTCCGTCTGCAAGGAGAATTTTCGAAGACTCCATCTTGCCCAGCTCCTTAGGCAACTCAATAAGCTTTGAGCAACCAGAGATAATGAGTTTTTCAAGAGATTTGAGCTGGCCAAAATTAGTTGTAAGCTTCCTAAGATTTTAGCAACCTTCTAGATTCAACAAAATCAGTCTCTCTAATTCTCCAATGTATTCATGAATTTCAATCAAATTCGTGCAATTTTTAAAGATCAATCTCTCAAGATTAGGGAGGTTTGAGAAATTAGGGGAACTGGTTAGCCCATGGCAATGATTGAGATTGAGGATATTCAGTGATATGAAAAACTGCCATAAAAAATGAAGGAATTTGTCAGATTGTTCTTTTCATTGATAGTTAAAAGGCATCTGCCAATGAGATTCTTCTGAAGCCCAACTTAAGTGATGAGATCACAATGATTCAGTATTGTAATTGTGAAATCCTTTTCCTTTCCAACAAAGAAACAAGCAATGTAAAGTAATAAAAAAAATTCGTGGTCATCTTGTAAAGAATCAAAGCTAATTCTGTACTGAAATAAGCAAAATTAATTAAATCCAATATATTTCCTACATAAGGAAAATGCTACCCCCAAAAAAGGGGCAGTTCAATAAATTATACACGAGGCAAAGCTTTAATGGAAATCACCTGTAACAAAAAGTGCAGACAAATACAAATGTTTTAAATTGGGTTCACAAGATTTTAGCCTAACTCAACAAAATTTTGTCTCAATTATTTGATTACCAAAAGCAGTACTCCTTCACATAATCAGCATCATCATCTTCAATTTTCCCACCAATTAAACAATCAATCCTATGTAAAATAAAAAATAAATCCTAATAGTTTTTCATGACCTTAGATCTTCTTTCAAAGCATGCATATAAACAAAGATAAAAGAGCTAGGTAAAAGACCATACCAGTAAATGACATATTGGAATTAAAGATTCATGTAATTAAATAACATGTGACAATCGGCAATGGGTCTTTCAAAGGTGAAAAAGGGTTTACCTGTAATTGCCGAAGAAATATCCTTTTCAGTATTAGATGATTGATCACTTCACAGAAATATTGAAACTGTTTTGTTGATTGAAGTATGGATGCCACCTATGTATGCATTAAAAGAGGGTAAACACATAAATGGTATAAAAAGAAGGGAGAAAAAAGGAGAGAAGCATACATAGGTGGCATCCATACTTCGAACGAAGCTTCCTTGCAACCACCATTTAAGACTAAACTAAGTCTCAAGCAATGGATTTTTTTTTCTTTCAATTTTCTGAGGAATTAAAAAAAAAAAAAAAAGAAGAAGAAGAAGAAGAAGAAAGAAAGAAAGAGAGAAAGCTGCCGCATCAACAAATATCACTTGAAATACTTTGAAAATTACTTTCAAATCACTTTTTGCATATAAAATAACATTGTAACCCTTTTCACCTTGACTTATAAAAATATTATTTTATGTATAAAATGACCTAACTATCTCACGAGGCCATATTAAGTGACCAAAATATCAATTAAAAATTTTGGATAAAAATATAAATTTAAGAATGGAAATAATACAACATGAATCTCAAGGAATAAATCTCCAATAATAATTAACAGCATGTCATGCCAGGACCCCATATAATTTTTACAAATCTATTTAATATAGAATTGATTCTTTAATAAAATAAGAAAGAAGTAGGAGAAAGGAAATATACTGATGTGGCTGTGTAAAAAGATTGTATAACATAAATAACAATTTTAACGGACTGCTGGAGATGTTCTAAGGGTAAAATTATCATTTTACATAGCTAATATTTTGTAATAAAAGATAGAGGTGCAAGTTCGGCAGGCCAACCGAGCCTGTCCCAACCCGAATTCAACCCAAAGTCGTGTTGGGTTAGGTCGGCCCAATGTTAACCCAGATCTGGGCTCCAACTAACCTGAACCCGAATAATTTCGGGCCGAACGGGTTGACCCATTTAAAATTTTTCCTTATTTTTTTAAAAAAAAAAAATACAAATTACATCTCGGTTTGAAAACATCAATTTTTTTTGAAAAAATTTAAATTTTCAATTCATTACTACTCTTTTAATTTTTCTGGATCTGATATTCAATTGTTAATTTTTGTGTGCGCTTTCAACTCTAATTTAAAAATAAAAAAAAATAAAACTTATCTTATTTTATTTTAAATATATATAAATAAATAAATAACTTTTTCTTTTTGTTTGTTATTAAATAAACTTTTATTTTCAAATTATTCTAAACAAAAACCCTAAAACAACTTATATACATAAATATGGGAGGAAACCCTAACACAAGCCACCGGAGAACAAACCAAAAATCTTTGAACAAAAGGTAAGAATAGAGAGAAAAGAACTAAGGGTCATTAACTTGCAAGTTGTTTCCTCCTCTTTCACCTCCACGTGATAAGGTTGTTGCGATTCCTTCATACTTATTTCTCTCTTTTACTCTTTCCATTTAGGTTTTCTCTTTCTATTTCCATCAATACGTGCAACCACACACACACATATATCGAAGACCAACTTTTGTTTCTTTAGAATCCTGAATTTATTATAGCAAGAGCAAATATGGAGTCTAGGGTTTTCAAAAAATGATCACACTTGTCATATAATACTAAGAGTATCTCCAGCGGTATGTTAAAAAACCCTTTTATGTAAAATATACACTACCACATATGATTTGTAATTTTTTTTCATCTCCAGCAATCTATTAAGATACACTGCCACATCACCAATGTGTAAAATGGTTGTGTATTTTATACTGCCCTTTTACACAGCCACGTAAGCATATTTTTCTCTCCTCTCCCTTTCCCACTCACAATTCTCTTTCTTCTCTCTCATTCCTTTGCGTCTCTTTGTTTCCCACTTTTATAGAACACTATAGAGAAGAATCTGCAATTGGCAGCAAGGTAGAATTGCTGAACCATCTTTTATTAATTTTTTTTTTTTTTAATAAACAGAGTTTGATTCATCACTTTTGTTTAATCTTATCTTCTGCAATCATCACTTTTGTTTGTTAGATTCTAGGGTTTTTTTAGATTTTTTATCCTTTTACATTCTATTCTAATGAGAGATATATATACTAACTAGCTAAAAATTAGATATATATTTTAATCACGTTTTTATATAATTGTTGATATAAAACCTTTGATTATGTAATTTCTGCATACTTAAATCTTATTTTATTATTTGTTATTAAGATAGAATTCTGGTGGCAGCGGGAAAGGTTTGCTATTTGGAGGGATGGGAAAGTGAAATATAGGGAGAAATTAGTATTTTTTTTCCTAATTGAGGAGGATTGGGAAGTGAGGTTTAATCGTGAAAAAGTAAAGTGAATCAAGTAGGTTTGTAAAAGTTATGTAGGGCCTTGGGTATGACATGTCGTTGGTTGTTATTGGGGAATATTTTTTTACACAAAAGGTATACAACAACGTTAAAAATAAGTAGTACAAATTTTTTGTGCAAATCTACTCTGACACATCAGATTTACACAAAAATATATACACAATGGTTGGAGATGCTCTAACCATTTGATAATATCATTCGACTTGGGAGGTGAAAAAAAAAAATAAAAGATTTGGAATTTTTTTTAATTTCGGGTTTCCATGATCTGAAGGTGCCAAAAAAAAAAAAAAAAAAAGAGATTTGGATTTTTTTATTATTTATTTCGTGTTTCCGTGAGGTGCAAAAAAAAAAAAAAAAAAAAAAAAAAGATTTGATTTGATTTTTGATTTTTATTATTATTTTTATTTTTTTAAATTTCGGGTTTCTATGATCTGGAAGGTGCAAAAAAAAAAAAAAAAGAGATTTGGAATTTTTTTTTTATTTTGTGTTTACATGATCTGGAAAAAAAAAAAAAAAAATTGGAAACCTGTTTTTATTTTTAACTTTTGAGTTTCGGGTTAGGTTCGAGTCCTAAGACCAACCTGATTTGAGCCCAATTTGTAACTTTCGAGTTTCGGCTGGGTTCGGGTTGGGTCGGGTTAGCCCGCCCAAGTTACACCCCTAATAAAATATATTAAAAAATTAGTTGTAAAATTGTTTTGTTCCGGGGGAGTTAAGGATAAAATTTTCATTTTAGATAGCTAATATTTTGTAACGGTGTACTTGGCGGAAAAGTAAAATTGGACTTAAATGATTATAATTTTCGAAAAATATTTTAATGTGATATTTGGCCAAACCTGAGGGGGTGTCAGTAAAATTAACCTAATTATTTTCTCTTGAATATAGTGGCTGTAGTAGAAATTGCATCATTTAAACGCATGAAAATCTATTGATCATTTCTAGTTGCATCATTTTATCGGTCAAGTTTTCTCTAATTTGATAAATGAATAAATTGATATGTGTTAAACATGGTTTGCAATGTACATAAACATATTGAGCTTTAGAATAACAGTTTTTGCTTCCATTTGGTAGAACATGTTTGAGTTGCTGCACAATTAACCGGATGCTTTGATATCATTTGTTGTGGTGCAAAAGCAAAAGCGTCGATGTTCGAAGTATAAACGCAAGCAATCATAAACAATAAAAACAATCACACATAAGAACACAAGATATACATGATTCACCCAAATCTTAGGGCTATATCTATGGAGCACACCGAACAAATTCCATTATGAAAAAGATAATGAATTACAATGGAGAATTTTCTCTCAATCTTTCTCAATTGCTCTGTAATACTCCTATATTTTGGAGGAATTATTTAATTAGGTTAAATGATTTTAAATTGATTTAATTGATATATTTGTTTTAAAGATTAAATTATTGATTGATTATTTGGTTCGATTTCATTTAATGTGTATTTTAGTTATTTCTTGATTAATTGGCATGTTGATTTTGTTTGTATGAAATGACTTTGTTGTTATGACTATGTATGTGTTTGTGCTTGCGTGATTTAATTGTGGTTATGTGTTCTGCCTTTTAATTTAATTGTTTATTTATTTAATTATTTAAGTTAAATGGATTGGAAGGTTTGGACCAAAAGATTTGGTCTTGGGCTAATAGGGAAACCTTAAAGGATTTGGGATTGTTTAAGCCCATGGAATTTTATATATATATATATATATATATATATATATATATATATATATGTTGTTTTCTTTTTGTTCTTTGCCATAATGCCCATTCCGGGACGAGTTGGAAGAGGAATTCCTAATTCTTACACTGATGAGACGGATCACACCTGATTAGTGAAAAATTATTACACCAAGAATATCAATTATTTATAAATTAAAGGGATTTTATAAATACATATGGAGATTTATTTACACATATAATTGGAATAGTCAGTTTTCTATAAGGATTAGGGTTAGAGCTGTGTGTGTGTGTGTGTGTGTGTGTGTATACATGTATTAGAGAGGGTTTTATTTTAGAAGGAAGAAAAAATAAAAGAGAGAAAGGGAGAGAGGCAGCCGCGAGGGAGAGATTGCTGAGAGAGAGAGAATGGAACCGAGGATGAAGGGAAGAAGAAAAGAAGAGAATGAGAAGAGGAGGACAAACCAAGGGCAAAGCCGGGCTGAAGAAGGACGACGATGACAAGGGATGCGGCCGGAGTTACAGAATAGATCGGAGAAGCTTGCGACGAAGGTTTCTTTTCGAAACCTTTAAGTGAGTTCTTTTCTAACTCTCCTCTTAGAACCCATAAGTTTAACATAATGGGTATCAAAATCTGTAAATTAATTTGGCATGCTAATTCCCCTAAACATAGGGTTAAACGTATGGAACGAAATGGGTTATATGTATATGTATATATGTATTTACATGTTTTGTTGTCAATGTTTGGATTGAATTAAAACATGTTATTACTTGATTAATGCACGATTAGATGCGTTATTATGGGTTAGGATGTCATAGGATAAAATAGGACTGTTAGTACACGAATTGGAGGCGAAACAAACGAGTTACAAAGGCTGAATCATTACTGTGGTAACAACGCTCAAGCCTTGTCCGTAGTGCTCGAGCGCTGTTAACAACGCTCGAGCACTAAACAGCGCTCAAGAGTATGCTCAAGCCCTGTGATTAGCGATCTAGCACAGGGGCAGCTGATTGCGTTTGAATTTCTCATAATGACTTCAAATTGATTTTTAAGTGCCCCGAACACATTATGAAGTTTTGAAAATAGTGTATATGATTTAATTGCATGATATTTGTATTAAAATCACAGGATTCGTGATTTGATTAAAAATAAAAAAGTAACCATGTTTAAAATTTTGGTATTTGAATAAGTATGTATTAATCAACTAATAAGTTGTATTATGAGATGTATCACACTCTTACATGTAGTATTATGGGTGGAAATCATAGTAGGTGGTTTTATTTAATTTATTTCTGCTTATAATCTGCATGGATGCCTAT